ACTAGCACAAGTCCCCGAACAAACAAACGGTACAGAATCTCTTCAAAACGAATTTGGGCAGCACTGCCACTGTGGAGCAGGAGTGAAGATTCTGGAGATTTCTACCTGGGTTCAAATCCCAGGTGGGACATTGATGTGTGATCGATGATTGATGCAGTCACATTGCTGTAGAAATGGTTGCTAATATAGAGCGCTTTGGATACAAATATCAGCCAAATGTTTGTGTGAATTATCTGTTCTCTTCGGCAAAGTATACTGCGTACTTGAATACAGTTTTTTAGAGAGCAGACAAATCAGAAACTTCCGACTGTGTGACAGTAATTTCCTAATTTTTCTAATGAGCTTAAATGATCAGAATGATCATCCCACTCATGGGCTTCCCCTGAGGTGACATTCTAAGCAGACAGAATTACAGATGACAGAGCAGAGCAGATGTGATAAAGTATGCAACTAGAGAATTGAATTCAAGTAAATTGTGCTGCTCGTTAAAGCAAAGGGCACAGATGGAAATTTGGTATGACTTTCATTTTGAAAATAGGGGGTCTGTGAATGATATTTTGGATTATCACACATAAAGATCCATTCATTTGCTAATCACTGTGCCAAATCCCCTGTTTCCCAAACTAATGTTCAATTGGCTAACTGTGGAAATGTATCCTGCAAGTTAATTGTCAAAGGACAAACTAACTTCAGTTCCTGTTTTTCCGGTGGGGTATTTACCTTTACAGCTAAATGAGCTGTTTTGGCAGATTGTCTCTTTTCCTGGTTAAAGACTCATACAGTACGCTTAGATGCAAAAATGTATTTGGGGTACTTTTCAGAGTATGACTGGGCCGAACGATAAAATCTGAGTTATGTGTTGCTATGTCAGTGGGACTGAATTTTGCACAGTTATTCAGAGCCTATTGGGGTAAAACAAGCCAGCTAAGAGGAAGTAGCCATAATGACTGCCTTGTTCAATATGGGAGAAGTCTGTCATAAATCACTATGGTGCAAATTAGACTTTGGTCTTTAAACTGTCAGCAGCCATAACACCTGCAGTTAGAGCATTAGTTTAGTCATGTTGTTGTCGTGGAGTATTTCCCTTTCAGTTTTCAAAACGGCAAGAAATTGTTTGCCAAAATGTTATTCTCACTATACTTCTTGTGATTAAACATGGATCTGCAGACATTGTAGTGATAAAAACGTGGTATTCACAAACCAGGGTCCAGTTTTATCATCTTTCTTTTTATATCTTTCAACAGTTGACTCTGTACCATCTCAAAGATGTTTTATAGTGTATTGCTGTCTGCATGGACCATACTGTTCTCCCTGTGTTCGTGTGGGTTTCCTCCAGGTGCTCTGGTTTTCTCCAAACATGTTCTGGTAGATTATCTGGCCTCTAGTAAAATTTGGGCCTGGTGTTGTGTGTGTGTGTGCACCCTGTGATCCCATCCAAAGACGTACCCTGCCTTGTGCCCATAGCTTACTGGGATTGGCAGCCGCACCCCTGAAGCACTGAATTGGAAGAACTGGTCTTCTAATGTTTGATTAGAAGGTGGGTGGACAGATCGCCCCTAGGAATTAAACCCGGACCCCCAGCACTGCGAAGCAGCAATGCTAAACACTGCACCACAACGCTCCCCCACTGGTTTTAATTCCTCTTGCCTTAGCAGTGGCAGTACTGTGGTTCCTGAATTATTAAGATCATTGTTAATGTCTAGTACTTCATTCTAACAGTCAGGAGGAATTCATTATTTGATTTTGCACAATGAAATATAACTTTTTTTTATTTTAAAACCCCTATGGATTATTCTACCAAATATCTTGTAGTATTGTGCAAGAGACTTGTATCCCATGCCAAAAAAACTGTAAAAAAAATCATTAAAAGTGTCAAAAGTCATGTCATCTGTTATGGTGCTCAAAAGATTAAAGAGGAGAAATATATTGTAACGCATACGGCCACCATTGTGGGTTGTTAGAGCTAAAGGGAGATTTCCCTTTAGCTCAACTGGCTGGGTCCATGTTGAATGACGTCAGAGACCCGGGTTCAAGTCCCGAGCGGTAGGGGGCCGACCTGAGGCGGCAGCGGCGAGGGCGCATACCCACGTGAACCCGAGAGTGCTACAATATTTAATCTTGGGAAGTACTTTTTTCTACGGTTTTGCCTTAAACACTGTAGTCATTGTAAGAAGTCTGGTCTCTATTGTCTCAAGGGCTTGACTCGACAGTTTCTGACGTCAACAAGCGCTCCTTACTGAACTGACTAAACATTTTATTAACAATTAATATTGCTTAAGTCGTCGCATTAGGATTGTTGCTTTGATCCTCCTAGCAAATCCTTTCACGTATCAATATTCAAAACAGCGGGTGATATCCCAAAACACAAATACCACATCCGAATTAGCAGGAAATACTTCACAAGAATACCAGTGGGTGTCTGCAGGTCTTAAATAAACGATTAAATAAATTGTGTCGGCTTCCAGCAACAACACATTTCCTATAGCTGCCCTTCTTCTCTGATTGTACTCTAGTTGCAAACCGCAGGTTAACTTACTACTAATTATGATAAGCATATTCATTAATAAAGTATTATTTGATGTACTGTGGGACATGTATAATACAACGGACTGATAAATATTGTCCTGAGAACAATAATGTGTTCTAGTTTCCCTTTCACACGAAACCATGTTTATTTACATTTCGGCATTGTTAGCTAAGTGTACCTTTCTACAAACGATTTCCGGCTTTTGAGCACACCCAAAACGCGAAAAGGGAAAGCAGGCAAAAGCAAGTCTTGTCTTTTACCTCCTCCCCCGGCAGCAGTGTCGGCTCTATTTACATAGCAAAGGAACAAGTAAAGGTTTATTCCAAACTGAAAAGAGAAGAAAGGAAACATAACGTGTTTCCCGGACACCCGAAGCAGGCTCCACAGCCGAAACATTGTGTTTCCTTTCTTCTCTTTTCAGCATGGAATAAACCTTTACTTGTTCCTTTGCAGCCTATGCTGACGCAGCTGCCTACTTGAGCTATTTACACAGCTCCGACCGGGCTGCGGCTCCGCTACAGACCTGTTGTTTCCTCCTCCTCCTCTCCCCTCCCCGAACAGGGGCTGGACAGGTATGCGGGCTGCCTCGCCACTCCCTGGACAGGAGGCTCCACGCCCCGCTTGCCACCAGCGAGCGCAACCCGCAGACAGCGGGTCAGAGTGCGCCTGAGCTTGAAAGCACTAACACCGGTGGCGCGTACATTACACTGTAAGTACTTCTGACCGAGCTGTTGCACTGAAAGTCCATGCGTTTGGCTGCGTAAGCGCACGGTCTTTCTTGTTCGGCTTTCCTTCTGAAACTTATCCTGCTGTTCCTTTAATTTCGGGTACAACTTTTGCATTTGAGAATGAGGGAGAGACGTTCTTGTGCTTGCAGTACTGATATTTTGTGTGCAGATTTCACTCCCGTAATTTTTAAAGAAGTAGACATGTCTTATTTATTCTATATTTGCGTTTTATTGACAAATTCTCATTCATGTGAATGGGAATATACGCCTTTTGCTTATAAGGTTGTGGGTCGGGCTGTTTCGTACAATGTCGAATAGTAATTTAGATTTAGTCATTAAAGAATGCGAATACCTTGAATATGGATTTTGACCACATTCATTTGGAAACGTTCTATTTGTTTTGTTAAAGTAGCTCAAAGATTAGTATTTCTGAAAATCAGCAGCTGAAAATGTGATTTATGAATCACATAGAAATTTAAGTTGCAAGTGATTTGTATGTCTTCTGCACTTGGGAAGCGGTATGGGTCTTACTTCCTCAAATGCGATTACCTATGAATTAGCAGATCTTTCGCCGTGTATTTGAGGACTCCGTAGGTTACGTGAATGGGTTTACCGTTAATTTTCGGGATTTTACAGATATGTGCTGTTTGGTCCGTTTGAATGTAAGGAACGGGATTTATTGGTGATGTTTATTAAAGCGGCATTACTTGCTGAGCGTCCGGCCGCGGGGTGCTGACTCTTCTGGGGAAGCTGTTGTCCGGTGTTAGTCTGGTTCCTGAGGGCGAAGGAATCTCAATCGGTCTCCCCAGGCAGGCGAGCCGCCTGACTGAGGCCGTCTCGCTAATTACAATACCAATACAGGCTGATTGCTTCTCCTAATCGCCGAAGCACGGCAGTGGGTTTTTAAATGTATTGCCAGCGGGTGGGGTGACGATTTGTTTTAATTTTGATCTGGCTGTAAAATTGTAATGCAGATACGACATTGTACCTGCTTAAAGTTTTAACGCTGGGATTATTGTAATACAGTGACATTTAAGGATCTGTTTATTGTATGGATTCTAAGTTATCCCTTTGACATAAAACAGCAAGACAAGTTTTTTGTGCGGTTTTTTAAACTTTTGAGTTATATATATATAGGACAATAAAATCCACCTCCTGTTGATTGTCTAGATGTTTGATCAAAAAGGGAGCAAGTTAATCTACTGTATTCCACAGCCAGTCTACTGTATTACACAGCTAATGTTTGTGATCTAAATGTTCTAAAACATTTTCAGTGTGTTTATGTTCACACAGATCTCTTAACCTTGCTTTAATACACACTGACATACAAGCAAAATGACAAATTGTTTCTTCTTTTTTTATTTGCTAGGTTGTTTTTTTCTCCACTGCTCTTAATCTGCAGTTGTGGTTCACCATGAGTCTTAATTTCTCAAGGGTGTGACTGTTTTAATTTTCAATTGCATTCCTGCTTTGCGTTCCAAGTAATGTTGCTGCAGCTGAATCACAGCTGTGGCTGCTGTATATCTACCCACCCTTGGCCTATCAGTGTGCCAGCCCACTTTATGAGCTTGTGCTCATAGATAAGCTCTCTGTGTTGGCTTTAACTGCAAGCAGTTCTCCCTGTGCTGACATCACGCTATCGCAGGCTCTCCGGGTGCCAGTATGTGTGTGAGTCACCGGAAACTGCAGAAACTCACAGCGCATGGGAACAGTACAGTACATGGTGTGTCACAGACCTGTGGACTCAGTCATCACCATGCTCTGCTGGGCTGGAGAGTTCGGGCATCGGTGACATCACTCAGCATTACCCTCCGAGCAAACCTGAGGCTTCAGCCAGACGTCATGATGTCTGGTCTGAGTCATTGACATGGTTAGATCATCTTCAGGGATGATCGGGGCTTCTTCAGGGTAGCTTGACAGGTCACAGCTATGTAATAAAGCACGTTGTTCTTTGCGTCTTGTACCCAACATGGAATCTTGTCTTGGGAGTGTCATAGTAATACTGTGCCCCACGTGCAAAAGGTTTTCTCTCTAACTTTTCTTTCAAGAAAGAGCTGGGTGAGATCATTGGATTATTTAACAACTAGCCGCCACACAGGTCAGAGGGGCTCAACTAACCTCCTGTCATGTGTATCTTTTCTTCTGTTCTTCTGACTGAAGAGGCAACTATAAATCAGTTCAGTGGCAACCCCTACCTTTCTTGAAAGGCTCTCCTTCCGAGTAGATGACCACATTATCAAAATAAAAATAAATACCTAATGATAACGAACTCACTGATTTCTATAGCAGAGAGCATGTTGGAGCAGTGGTTAGCATTGCTGCCTTGCAGTGCTGTGGCCCTGGGTTCAATTCTGGACCCGAGGTGCTGTCTATTTGGTTTCGAATGTTGTACCCTTATTTGTGTGGGTTTCATCCCAGAGTCCAAAAACACAGGGGTAAGTTAATGGCTTCTGGGAGACTGAGTGGAAAATGGTCGTTGTTAGAGTTTGTTTCATCTATGTCTGTGTCCGTATCTGTGCTCTGCGATGGACACTGTCCAGGGTGTATCCTGTCTTGTGCCTGTTGCTCGCTGGGATACACTCCTGCTCCTCCGTGACCCTAAATTGGGTGAAGCAGTTAGATAATGAATGGATGGCTTTCTGTCGCTCTTTTCATCTTAAAAGATCCCAAACTACTTCACCAATTAGGAGGAGACCCATTTCATCCACCACAGAAGTGTAACTCCACCTGAGTGACACACAGCAGCCCTGCAACACTGCAAATCAGGTGGGAAAGTGAGAACATACTTCAGTTAAATAGGCAGTGTACATCTCTTTGACGTGGATGGGTTAGTTAAAACATTCTTGCATCTATTGCATTCACTGTCAATTTGGAATTTTATATTTATTCCCAGGACTTCAGTGAAAAAAACAAAACAGTAAAGGTCCAGTTGTAAAGATTTATTCATTCATTTTACTCTGGCACCCATGATGTTGTGTAATTTGTACACTCAGAGTGAGGCACCTGAGTCTAGTTTGTGCCTGTGTGGGACTTTCACGTGTTGGGCAACCTGGCTGAGGAACTGTGTTTTTCCCCGATCTTCAGCAGCGGTGTTCCGGTATGCAGTGCGGGGATTTGGGAGTGCCGAATTGGCCCCAGCACGATTTCTTTCAGAGACTTGTATAAACTAATACCCAGTCAGTTTGCAGATGTGTGCAATGGACATCAGTCTTTAAGAAAGCCACAGCTCACTCCCTCAGCCTCATACCTTTGATCACATCGCAAACCCCCCGTGTGTGTGTTTTGTTAGCACATGCATGTTATCAGCATTCAAGAGTGTTTCTCAGCAGTATTCTCAGCCATAGGATTGAAATGCTGGGAACCTTTCTCTCTCTTTTTTTTTTCTTGCCTTGGAAAAATTGACTTTCTTTAGAGTGAGGCTCCAGGGTCACTTAGTCTGGCTTCTACATTCCAACACGTGAAGAATGTTTTATGCCTGAAGTACAACTTTTAACCAATTCTCCAACCCCACCTTCATTTTCATTTCTCTGTCAAGAAATGGAAGCATTTGTTCACCGCATTTCCAGTTCTCCTTCGATTACAGTTCTGCTGCCTTGTTCAGGACTCTCTAAACCACGTCAGTGAGATCAAAGCGGTCGTTTGAGCCTGTGCTGTGGAGAACTTCATAGGAGGGAATGATCCCTTCAACTGACTTTTTTTCGAGCTCTGAAAGTGACTTCTAAATGAAAGTGGCAAGAAGTCTTTACCCTCCTAAATTCCTGAGTAATTTCAAAGCTCTTCTTAAGCAGAGCTGTTAGGCCAGTGGCAGGTTTAATGATGTCACTGCCGATTCGGCTTGAAGGAAGGCCGGAGGACAGTGGCATCACAAGAACCAGATCGTTCACGTGCTGTCTTCAATGCAGGATCTTGCAGCACAGGAAGTTTTCTCTTTCTACTGCTGCCTGTGTTACCACAGCTCCCACTCTGGCATCACCTCAGCCCTGGCTGAGGGTCACATTGAAGCCAAGTGGCACTCTACGGATTTGGGATCACAGCTGGGGACATTCTGGCTGAAGGGAACAGGGGTGGCACAGCCTGGATTGGAACCCTGATGCTCTATTTGTTCTGCAAACATTGGGAACTCCCAGTTGAGAGCATTATGTGATGCCGCCATGTGAATCCCAAATTTTCCTCAATATTGCTGTTGTTCAGTACACTTGGTTAAGGAAGCCCATAGGCTGGTGCTACTGTGACATTTGCGGCCTTTGTGCGTCCAGGATCAGGTTCTAATTGGGGAAAAAAAGATCTGCTTTTTAAAGCGTGCTCTATGCTTACTTTCCCTTTCTGCAGGCACTGCCGATGACCCGGAAATTTCCTCTTTCCTGTTAAGAGACCAGAAGACACCGAATCCAAAATGGAGAGTAAAGATGAGACGAGTGACACGGACAGTGGGATCATTCTGCAGTCTGGTAAGCAGCACTGCGTCTTCGTCTGTCATAGCCGACATCTGTGCCTGTGTCTGGAGGGGTTATCAAATATTAATCTGTGCTGCACTTAGGAAACAGAGATTAGTGTAATGAAACATCACTCTATCACAGTAGTAAAATATGATCTTTTTTTAATTAATAATTCCATATACTTCTGGACACTCCACTCAAAGCACTTTACAGGTAATGGGGACTCCTCTCCACCACCAGTGTGCAGCCCCACCTGGATGATGCGACGGCAGCCATAGTGCGCCAGAACGCTCACCACACACCAGCTATCAGTGGGGAGGAGAACAGAGTGATGAAGCCAGTTCAGAGAGGGGGATTATTAGGAGGCCAATGGCAAATTTGGCCAGGAGGCCCTTACTCTTTCTGAGAAACGCAAGCTTCTAATAATTTTCATACAAAAAGACATTGCGACTGCATGCAGTCCTGAAACGGAGACAGAGCCGAGGCTGAGAACCATTGCTTTTGAGATACAGTTCCATTTGCACGATGTGATCAATTTCGCTCAGTGGCCGTTTTTTCCTTTTTGACAGAAGTGTCACTCTGTGGCATTCCTTGCTTGCCACCTAATCTGGTTGTGCTCGGAGCTGTTTTGCACGTGCTCAGCGTTGTTGACATGCCAATAAAGTACTGATGGCTCTTTTATATTCTCCAAGTCGCACCTTTTCGGCTCAGGGGAAGAGGTTAATGATGTGCAGTCTTTCATTACCTGCTGTGATTCATCATGGAAGCGCCCAGTGGTTTTGCAAAACAAAAGATGTGGCTTCTGCTCCCTGGCTCTTAGCATGAACCCAGTGCGAATATGGAATGTTAACAAACGCCGCCCTCGTGGTTCCAGTCTACACTTGCTTTGTTTCTGCCCTGATTTGTTTTTGTTATGCTTAATTGGTATTTGACAGTCATCCGGCCTATGCTCTTTTTAACAGTCTTTGTGTTTTTCAACTGCTTCTTTTGCTGAGTATTTTTATTGTTCTCTAAAGCGACAAAAATAGGTGATTCATAAGTTTCATGTGAAAGTCGTGTTACAGGACACACGGATTGTTGGTACGGTGTGGTATCTGAGAATAATTCATGAAAAGGAAAAATACAGAATTTCCAGACTCTGTCCCATATCCCTTGCACATATTCCCTTGCAAAAAGGAGACTAAAACTAAATGAGAGAGACAGAAGACACAAAAAAGAGCATAGCAAAATGTGAATCACTCTAAGCAGGTTCTAGGAGAAAAAGGTGAAAGCCCAATCCTGTCAGGTATCATCTGAGTAGTCAGTTAGTGACAGATTAAGGTCAGGTTTTCAGCTTCTATCTACTCTGTCTGGAATGGCCTGGTGTGTCTGTACCGCTTGTCTCACAGAGGAGACTCCTGTACCGACATGAGTGAGGAAGGGCAGAAAGTTGAACCATCCATCATTTCACACTCTGCACACACAGCTTCTTGGGAGAGTCCACACTGATTGGAGGAATGGTGCCTCTCTCGTTGATGTCGCCACAAGTCTGGAGGCTCTTGGGAAATTTCCAGCAGTTGCCGGTGCTGATTAATCCCACCCATTCCGTGGCGGTGCCCAGCCCAATGTGCGCCACCGCTTAAGCAATCCTGGTGCCCGTCAGCCGGTGGCAAGACCCAGGCTCAGACTCGCTCTCGTATGGGTCATTGACCTCAAAGCAAGCACCTTTGCTGCTTGACCCACTAGATTGATGTTACTAATTTAACATAGGGTTTTAAGGAAATGCCAGATTAAACATATGTGAAATACCTTTTTTTTTAGCAGATTGCAATTTGGTTCAGTCCTTTCTCACAACACCATTTAGACTTCTTTGACTTAATAACATGTGCCAGACTCCTGGGATTATAAATTACCCATCCAAATGTAAGGTCCATTATGCACTGACCATGACACAGTTTTACAGAGGTCTTTAGACCGGGAGAACATTCAAACTCTTCCTTTTTGATCGAAACATCCTTGTTGGTAAACAACAAGGAAGAAAACCTCAATATACAGTTCCATTCCGAATATCTTTCTCGAAAAAATATTACACACGATACGGCCATTACCAGACCCTAAGCACGCAGTCTAGGCAGCTCTAGTAAGAAGAGCGATACTGAGGCAGAGCAAGGATTGTTCACATGATGTGAAATTGATCGCAGTTGTTTCTGTGTTTGATGGACACATTGATTTTCCTCCAAACTGCAGATGGGTCCCGTTCCACAGGCTGGGGCCCTTGTAAAATTCTTTATGAATTAGCATGGTAAAAAAAGCATCAATATTGCACAGCACAGTGAAATCTCATTGAAAGAGAGAGAAAGTATAGAGTTTAGGCATTTGGTGCACCAGGAATCCAGTGCAAGGCAATGTTGCTGCATGTTAAAACTGGAAGCTGCAGTGCTGTGGTTGTGTTTTGCAGGTCCAGACAGCCCCTCTACACCCATGAAGGACCTGAGCACCCACACCAGAGCCGTCAAGCTCAGACACAAGTCCCTGGAGGACCGGCTGGAGCTGTGCCTGCTGGAGCTAAAGAAACTGTGTATCCGAGAGGCTGTGAGTGCAGCACGCCAGTCTGATTCCCGTCTGATTCCCTGAGGAGTCCTGCCTTGACTCCTGGGCTGCCCTGCCTCTCTATATGTCTGTATAGAGTGCCTGATGCAGCCAAGGAAAGCTCTCTGGGGCTTATTGTATTTCTAGAGTTTTCTCAGTCCACAAAATCCACGGTCGTCTCTTTTGGTTGGCTAACCAAACCTAGTTTGAGATTTGGAAGAGAAGCCATACTTCCAGAGTTCAGAGAAGAGCTGTTCATCAGTGGTGTAACCCAAGAAACCCCAAGTAAAGAACTAAACACGTGTGCCGCTTTTGAATTGGGAATATTCTTGTCTGCTGTAATCTCCAGAGAGCAGGTTAGATCAGTGTAAACTGGCAGAAACTCCAGGCCTTGGCTGTTGGCAGCAATCTCAGCAGCATGCAAAGCGACTCATAAATACAGCCAATTCAAAAAGCTATTACCGGATTGTCTTGAGACGTCGTACAAAATGCTCAATCGCTTAGGAATCAAAAAATGACATTTACCTGCCGAAGCATGGCTGCTCAGGTATCTCTGTGTCGTTCACATGCATCGCCACCACAGCAATGACTAAAGTGTTATTTAATGAGAAGTTCCATTATTGGGTGGAAGGTTTTAGCTCTCTTCAGAGGCAGTTTCTCATCAGAAATACTAACCCTTTGGGTAGGATTAAGGTGTTTTCTGTTTTTTTCCATCTTGAATAATGATTCTGCTTGCGGTGTTTGGCTTGTGTTTGCAGTTGCAAACGATACTTGTTAGAAACCTTACATTAAAAATTTAAATTTTAGGATCTCGGTTTACTTGTTCTCCTTTTCACTCTGTTTCTTTAGGGAATTAATGTTTTTCACATTTAATCTTTTGACTGATCAATGTTCCCCATCATGGATTTAGTTTGTACTTCTGTAAAGAGAATATTAAGTCTTAATTGTACGAATCTGTGCTG